GAGAGAGAGAGAGAGAGAGAGAGAGAGAGAGAGAGAGAGAGAGAGAGATGGACAGCTATATAAATCAGGTAGACAGACTGATAGAGAGAAAATAGTTGGATGTGTGGATAGATAAGAAAGATGAATAGATAAGAGATAAACAGATATAGATAGATGATAGATATGGATAGGCAGGCAGACAGGCAGATATAGATGACAGATAGATATAGATATATAGATATAGATAGCTCTATCTACCTATCTATCTATCTATCTAGAGGGGGGGAAGTTCTGGGAGTTGGACACCGCATATCTTAAAATTGCCAAGGTTGGGAAACGCTGCACAAAATGGCAATCTAAGAATGAGCCAGAAGCTGTTTTTCTGGCCACTCTGCGATCCTCCAGCTTGCTGGCATTCACACAACATTTATTTTATTTTTATTTATTTATTTATTTGATTTGTCAATTGTTTACAAGGTAATAAGTATCAGTGTATACATAGTTATGAATACATGAAATGGGTACATATAAGAAAAATAAAAGAAAAATAAAAGAAACAATAGGACAGGGACGGTAGGCAACACATGTTTCACCCCAAGCCAGATAAAAAACCCGAATTGTCAAACATCCATCATCTGCAACCCAATGATGGCTTAACAGTGGGCCTGTTCACATAGCCTGCTGAGACAAGAATCCAACCATCTGTATTTTAGCTGGGTTTGAGTGTGCTGCGTGAATGAAAACCTGTATCTTTTTTTTTTTTAATGCACATGTGAGTTGTTGAAATTGTCTTTCGCCTAAACCTTTCTTTTTTTCTTTTTCTCCAGACTATGGGGAAGTTGAAATCCTGGTCTCAGTTTTTTGCGTAGGGTTTGTCATTCTCCTTGCAGGAACTTTGGTCTGCGTTTCCAGACATCGATCGTATGTCAATAAGTACTGTGTTTTCCATTTATCATTGTCATTCCCTATGTCTGTCTGTCTGTCTACAGTATCTATCTATCATCCATGTCATCTGTCTCATGTATCTGTGTCTGTCTGTCTGTTTATTTATTTATTTAGTCTATTTATTTATCTACCTATCTATCTACTATCCATGTCAATTTTTAGATTTTTTTAAATTTGATTTGTCAATCACTTACAAGATACAGGTATAAGAATAAATATAGTTTTGAATACATGAGATAGATACTTATAAGAAAAATAAAAAACAAAAGGACAGGGACGGTAGGCATGATTGGTGTACTTATGCACGCCCCCTACAGGCCTCTTAGGAAGGGGGTAAGGTCAATAGTAGACAGTCTAAGGGACTTCCGGTTTGTCGGCTTCGCGAGCGGCAGGGATTCGCGAAGCTGCGCGATCCCTGCTGCGCTAGCCGCTTTTGGTGCTCCGATCCAGACGGGTCCGGAGCTAGGCTGCCCTGCAGGGGCAGCTGAAGATAGGGGGGATCCGGAGAGGGGTTTGGGGGTGTTGCAGACCCCCTCCCCGGCCGGCAGAACCCTCTTTTCCCAAGACGGTGCAGCGGCGGTCCGCAATGGCCGCCACAAAGAAGCTGGCAGCCGGGTAAGAATGCGCAGGAGGAAGTGGAGAAAGTTTTTGAAAAGAGAAAGTTTTTCTTGGTTCCCAGGACTCTAAGACATATTTAACAAAACTTCTGAAAATTATGACTTTCTGAATGATACCTTCTAGAAGAGGAAAAAAGCGGCAGTTTGGTGGTGCTGAAAGGAAAGTTTACTCTCCTTCCCGACGGAATTAATAAGTGGACATTGAGAAACCTGTTTTTTTCAGGTAAAACTAGCTTTATGGGATAAGTCGGAAGGGAGAGGACAAAAAATATATTCATCTGGTTTGATTTTGTTGGAGGTGATGCCTTAAGGATTTGAAGACAGAAATAGAACTCCAATAAGGCTTCAAAATACAGATTTGGACTTTTTTTTTTTTTTTTGTCTGATACTACCCCTGGAAGAAAAAGGGAGAATTTTGTCTTGGCTTGGATTGATTGAGGATTGTGGATTTTGGGATTGTTTTACTTTTTTTTTTAAATATCTTGGTTGGTGTAAGAAGAAAGAGGGAAAAAAGAAAAGAAAAGAAAAGATCTATAATGGCTTTTTCTTTTGAGGAACTGAGGGAAGAATATGAGCAAACAAAAGCAGCCGGTAAAGATGGTATGGAAAAAGCCTTCCTATTTTTAGAAATGGCTCTGGTTAATTATCAACAAACAATACAACAGATGGAGGCAGAAGAACAACAAGAAGAAGAAGATGAAGATGCCATCTTTAATGAATTCCAAAATTTAACTAAGAAAGAAGGAAGGAAGAAAGCGAGGAAAATAAAGGACTTAAGATCTAAAAAAACATTTAAGAAAGAGAAAAATAAGATGCAAAATAAATATAATGATAGTAAACAAAAGAAAAAGGGAACACAACAAGAGAAGGGATGCCAGCAAGGCAGAGGCTAGAAGAAGGGTGGGTAGGAAGATTTGGTGGGAGAAGAAAGAAAGGGGAAAGGCGGAGAAAAGCCACAAAGTTTTGAAATTAGATGGGAAAAGAGGAATTTTTTTTAGGGACAAAGGGTAAAGTACAATTTTCTTAAAAAAGATTTTGCAAGGTACATAAGATGGTATTGTAACATCTGTATTAGAAATAGAAAATTAGAATGGCTTAAGAGTTAATAAGAAATTAAAATGTTGAAATGTTTAACAATGATTGATTTTAAAATGTAATAAAATATTAAAGGGAAAGGCAATGGGAATGTTATAAGATTTAATATTTAGATTTATTATTTAACTATGTATTTAATCATTTTGGATTTATTACTCTGTTTTTATTGTTATTAAAAGAAAAAAATTAGTAGATAGAATGTACCAAGCAGAATCAGATTGGGTATTAGGTGTTATTTTAAATGTTAATCTAATTAATTTAGGGGGAGGATAGAAAGGCATCATACTCTGATTAGTGATTTCAGGAGAAATTCTTTTTTTTTTTTTTATAAGGAATGAGATAGAGGGATAATAAAGAATGGGCAAAAGATACAAATATAATGATTTAAATTAAGATGGATTAAATAAGATAGAATTATGAAGAGTGAAATGTGTGGAGAAGTTTATATAGAAGATATAGAATGGTAAACAAAATAGGTAATGATATGTAAGATGAGCATGAATATAATTGAAGCCCATATAAAGAGAGGTACCTGGGGCCAAGTTACTTTCCTAAAAGATTTTTTATATGTTTGTTTGTTGTGTGTTTATGTTTTTGAGAGTATTAATAAAACCTTGTAGAAATACAGAATGAGAATAATGGTAATCAAGTCAGAAAGAAATAGATGAAATAATAATAGTGAAATTGAATAAGAGTAAAGAGAAGTAAAGAGAAATTGGATAAGAGATATTTTTATGCTCATATGGAAATGGCTTAAAATAGAATTGTATTGTATAAAATAAGGTTTTATCTGACTTGTAAAATTTATAATGGAAAAAGGTTCAAATATGTAATGGTTGATGATGATTTGTTTGTCTTTGAAATTAATAAAATTTGCTTAAAAAAAAAATAGTAGACAGTCTAAGGTTAAAGTTTTTGGGGTTTGGGGAAGAAACCACAGAGTCGGGTAGAGTATTCCAAACATTGACCATTCTGTTGCTGAAGTCGTATTTCCTGCAATCAAGTTTGGTGCGGTTTACTTTGAGTTTGTATCTATTGTGTGTTCTTGTATTGTTATGGTTGAAGCTGAAGTATTCATTTGCAGGTAGGACATTGCAATGTATGATTTTGATACATAGTCAAGGTCTTTTTGGACAATAATAGTATTGTCTGTGGTGTTGAATAGCTTTATATCGTCAGTGAAGAGAACGCTGTTGCTCTTAATATGATCACAGAAGTCATTTATGTAGAGTATGAAGAGAGTTGGTCCTAGAACACTGCCTTGGGGGACACCACTGTTGACAGGTACAGAATTTGATAGGATGCTCCCAATTTTGACCATTTGTTGTCTGTTTGACAGGAATGCTTCTATCCAGTTATGCAGGTGTCGAGAGATACCATAAGGTTTTAGTTTTAGTAGTAGTTTGTCGTGTACCACTGAATCAAAGGCTTTACAGAAATCTATTGCTTTGCCCTGATCGAGTTGTGTAGTCCATATGTTTTTGCAGTGTAAGAGTTGCAGATTACAGAATAGTTTTTTCCTGAAACCAAATTATTTATTAGAGAGTAGGTTGTTTGTCTCTAAGTGGAGGATAATGGATTGGTTAATAATTGATTCCATGACTTTATAGGTGACGCAGCATAAGGAGATTGGTCTGTAATTTTCAACTAGGCTGGGGTCTCCCTTTTTGAAGATGGGGATGACCGTGGCTTGTGACCATAGGTTAGGCAAGGAGCTGGTCCTGAAAGATTTTTCAAAGATTTTGCTTAGAGGTTCGGCTATGGCAGTGGATAGCTTTTTTAAGAAGTAGGCACATATTCTGTCCAGTCCAATAGATAGAGATGGTTTTAGATTGCGCAGTGCTTTTTCAACAATGTCTTCTGTAAAATCGATATGTATTAGATCATTGTAGTTGTCTGTGGTTAGACTAGGAAATACTGGGCTTGATCCATTGCTGTTTACAAATACTGAGTCAAAGAATGTGTTAAAGAGGTTAGCTTTAATAGTGTCGTCATTGCAGTCTTTGCCATTAGGTCCTTTCAGGGGTGGGATGGACCTTGAGTCTTTTAGTTTGTTGTTTACAAAATTGTAGAAAGCATGGGTGGAATTTGTGCGTAGAAGGTTTTCCTCTTGTTTAATGTGATAATTAGTGCATTCAGTTTTAATCTGGTGGCATAGATTTTTGTAATGGCTTTTGAAGTTGGCAACGTGACCAGATTTGTTTTTTTGCCAAAGTGATCTCTTTTTGGATTGAAGCTTCCTTATGGTTACGGGTAATCTGTTTTTCCTGGTTTGGGGAGTTGTTATTGATACATATAGTTTGATGGCTCTTTTGATTTCTAGTAAGAATATGTTGTAATGGTCTTCAACAGTATTGCATCCAGTGAATAGAAATTGCCAATCCAGGGAAGAGAGATTGTTGATTATAAGATCATAGTTGCCTTTTTTGAAGTTATAATTGGGGATTTTGTCATTGTGATGATTTTTGTGTGGATGTATGTTGAGACAAAAATCAATCATGTTGTGGTCACTGTTGGAAAAGGGTTCTTTAATTTGTATTCCGTAAATTGAATTCAAACTATTGCAGAAGATGAGATCGAGGCATCTCTCTGTCTCTATCTGTCTGTTTCTGTCTATGAGTCTATCCATCTATCATTTATCTATGTCATGTCTGTCTCTCTCATGTATCCATCATGTATCTATCATCTGATCTATCAATCTATCAATTTATTCTATCATCTATGAATTTTTCTATTATCTATCATGTATCTATCATCTGTACATCTATCTTCTGTATCATCTGTTTAATTATCAGACTTCGGAAGTATCTATGGCCACAGATTCCAGATCCAAGAAAAAGCAATTTGGCTACTTGGATACCACAGAACATGTGCCTGGTAAGTGAGCCTCAGGGGAAAGGGGCAGTTGGGTATTTTCTCCAGGAAAAAAAAAAGACAATCTGGAATGCAATTTTAAGGTGGGTAGACTTCAACACCCAGAATGCCTCA